CCAGTTCCAGGGGGGAAGATGAAGTAACTAGTTGGAAGTGCCAGGGGGGAAGATGAAGTAAATTTGTTTGGAAGTGCCTAAGGGGTGATGAAGTAATATGTGGAAGTGCCAGGTGGGAAGATGAAGTAACTAGTTGGAAGTGCAGGGGGAAGATGAAGTAAATATGTTGGAAGTGCCAGAGGGAAGATGAAGTAACTATGTTGGAAGTGCCAGGGGGATGATGAAGTAACGCTATGTTGGAAGTGCCAGGGGGATGATGAAGAACTATGTTGGAAGTGTTGGGTATCAACTGTAAACAACTATGCTGGAAGTGCCAGGAGGGAGATGAAGAAACTATGTTGGAAGTGCCAGGGGCTGAATGAAGTAAACATGTTGGAGTGCAAGGGGGAAGATGAAAGTAACTATGTTGGAAGTGCCAGGGGGATGATGAAAGTAAATTATGTTGGAAGTGCCAGTGGGGATGATGAAGTAATATGTTGGAAGTGTTAGGGGGATGATGATGTAACTATGCTGGAAGTGCCAGGAGGAAGATGAAGAAACTATGTTTGGATAGTGCCTGGGGGATGATGAGTAACTATGTTGGAAGTGCAAGGGGGCGCAGCAAGTAACTATGTTGGAAGTGCCCAGGGGGATGACTGAATTAACTATGTTGGAAGTGCCGGGGGAAGATGAAGTAACTATGTTGGAAGTGCCAGGGGAGATGAAGCGAACTATGTTGGAAGTGCCAGGATGATGAAGTAGACTATGTTGGAGTGCCAAGGGGGATGATTTTGAAGTAACTATGTTGGAGTGCCAGGGGGATGATGAAGTAATTATGTTGGAAGTGCCAGGGGGTGATGAAGAATAACTATGTTGGAAGTGCCAGGGGGGAGCATGAAGTAACTATGTTGGAAGATGCAGTGGGAAGATGAAGTAACTATGTTGAAGAGCCAGGGGAGATGAAGTAACTTATGTTGGATAAGTGCCAGGGGATGATGAAGGTAATACTATGTTGGAGAGTGCCAGGGGGAAGATGAAGAGTAACTATGTTTGGATGTGCCAGGGGGATGACGGAAGTAAGATTTTTTGGAGTGGCCTGGGGGATGATGAAGTAACTATGTTGGAAGTGCCAGGTGGGAAGAGATGAAGTACTATGTTGGCAGTGCCAGGGATGGGCAAGATGTAAGTAACTAGTGTGGGAAGTGCCTGGGGAAGCTGATGAAGTAACTGTGTTGTGGAGTGCCAGGGGGAAGACGAAGTAACTATTGTTGGAAGTGCCAGGGGCGATGAATGGAAGTAATCTGCTGGAAGTGCAGGAGGAGTTGATGAAGTAAAAAATGTATGTTGGAAGTGCCAGGGGGATGATGAAAGTAAACTATGTTGGAAGTGCCAGGGGGAGATGAAGCTACTATGTTGGAAGTGCCAGGGGGAAGACGAAGGTAACTATGTTGAGTGCCAGGGGGAGTATGAAGTAATCTATGTTGGAAGTGCCAGGGGATGATAAGTAACTTGTTGGGAGTGCCAGGGGAGATGAGTAACAATGTTGGAGTGCAGTGGGGAAGATGAAGTAAACTATGTTGGAAGTGCCAGGGGGAAGATGACAGTACTATGTTGGAAGTGCCAGGGGAAGACGGAAGTAATATGTTGGAGTGCCAGGGGGAAGATGAAGTACTAGGTTGGATAGTGCCAGAGGGGATGATGAAGTAACTATGTTGGAAGGTGCCAGGGGGATGATGGAATGTAACTATGTTGGATAGAGCCAAGGGTGGGGAAGATGAAGAACTATGTTGTGTAAGTGCAGGGGGATAGAATTGAAGTAACTATGTTGGAAGTGGCCATGGGGGATGATGAAGTAACTATGTTGGAAGGCCCAGGGCGACCTCAGGGGAAGATGAAGTAACTTATGTAGGAGTGCCAGGTGGAAGATGAAGTAACTATGTTGGAAAGTGCCAGGGGGGAAGATGAAGTAACTATGTCGGAGTGCCAAGGGGAGATGAAAGTAATATGTTGGAAGTTGCCAGGGGATGATGGTAACTATGTTGGAAGTGCCAGGGGATGATGAAGTAATAGTTGGAAGTGCAGGGGGATGATGAAGTAACTATGTTGAAGTTGCCAGGGGAAGATGAACGTAAACTATGTTGAAGTGCCAGGGGGAGATGATGGAAACTATGTTGGAAGTGCCCGGGGAAGATGAAGTAACTATGTTGGAAGTGGTGCTCGATGGGAAGATGAAGTAACTATGTTGGAAGTGCCAGGGGGATGATGAAGTACACTATGCTGGAAAGTGCCAGGAGCGAAGATGAAGTAACAATGTTGGAAGTGCCAGGGAGGATGATGAGAAGTAAGACTATGTTGGAAGTTGCCAGGGAGATGATGAAGTAACTATGTGGAAGTCCAGGGGGATGATGATGTAACTATGTTGGAGAGTGTCCAAGGGGGAAGATGAAGTAACTGTGTTGGAAGTGCCAGGGGGGGATGATGAAAGCAACTATGCTGTAAGTGGCCTGGGGGATGATGAAGT